CTCTGAACTGCGTGGTGCTACAAAGTCAAATATTTTTACACATTGGGGCTTTAAGACGTCTTGGCTGCTCTCCGGTTAGCTCATTAACTCATCAGTCCAGAAGAACAAAAAGGCTTTTTCTCCCAACCGAGGCTGATTTGGAACAGGTAACAGATGGATTAGTTGCAACTAAATTTTACATAAATAAAAAAATTGGATGAAAATTTGTTTCAAAGGTAAGAGGTTTGCTGCAGAAATGTTACTGAACGTGTTTTTTTTTTCTTACGTCCCCTTCATACTTTCTTAACTCTTCCCCTCTCAGAATTTAGGCCTTTCGGACCCGGTGATAGGATTAAAAAAGACAAAGATGTTCTGTGGTCTCGTCTACTTCCTGATGACTTACCCTCTGAGGGGGGCAGCTTTTGTTTCAGGGCGCTTGCTGTTCTCAGATGGTGTCCAGATATCCATCTCTGTGTGCTGCTTTTTGTTTGAAAAGTAACTAAAAGCAACCTGAAACGCTTCAGGGTGCAACCAGAACGGGCCAATCGTGTCTTTTGTGCACAGGTTCTTTATATTTACCTGCAGATATCTGTTAGAGTGATAAAACGAAACCGGGAGCTAAAACGAAATGGCTAGAAGAAACGTGCTGACACAAGTAAAATCTTATCATTAGTACTAATTCACAATTTATGCACAAAAGTCAAAATATTGTTTAAACGTTTTTCAGTACTTTGGAAAAACTTATTTTTATTTTTGTTTGGTTTTTATTTCATTACCATTTTGGATTTTTGTCACTTGGGGGGAGAGATCAGTGATTAAATTATACGTTGACAGAATATTTCCGTTTTATGTCTGTTTGAGACAAAGTCTGACTTTGTGAAACAAAAAAGTTTTTTTTACTTCTTTTACCAACTAATATGTGGATTAAAGACATATTCAGACATTTCTTGTAGATGTTTGTGCATTTTTCTGTTCATCCTTGTGTAAACTCATGGGTCTCGTCTTGTCTTCAGCTGTGTGTCTGATCTGTGTGTGTGTGTGTGTGTGTGTGTGTGTGTGTGTGTGTGTGTGTGTGTGTGTGTGTGTGTGTGTTTCTCATGTCAGGCCGTGCGGGATGCCCGAACCCCGGGGCTGACTGCCTTCTCATGCTCAATGGTAATTATCATCTCTGTGTGTGTGTGTGTGTGTGTAGCTCCCCTGTTGTTCCCACGTGTCCATATTAGACAACCACACACACACACACACGCATGCACGCACGCACACACACACACACACACACGCACGCACGCACGCACACACACACACACACACGTTACTCCAGATGCAGTTTGTTTTCTGGGATTTCCAAACATGATTGTAATGTGTGTGTTTTCCTCGGTGATCCTAATAGCCGCTGTTTGCTCAGATGTGCACACCTGGCCCCGCTAATGCTTAGTGATGGAACTCATGACAAACGTGTTGCCATTGTTTAGTAAAGTAATGAGGTCTTGAACAGACCTCCAGCAGTACTCTGCTGCATCATCTCATTAAATTTTCAGTGCCTCCTAGAATCATTGTTGCACTGCAGAGTGTTTTCCAGCCCCACACGAGAGAGGAGATAAAATAACAGAGTTAAAATAAAATCCCGTCTCAGCAGGTCATAACTGCAGGTCAGACAGCTGCCGTGTCTGTCTGGGGTTTGCTGTTTCCTCCTGAGATGCTGCAACTCGACCAGGATTGTTGTCCCCTTTCGGATGCAGTTTTTGGCACGTGTCTCTGAGGACACACGCTGCTGGGGGTCATCAGGCTCCCTGTTCCTGACAGACAAGGCTCAGGGCTTTTAATATGTGTTCTGGGGCCTTTTGATAAAGGGTTTTGTGATCTTACATCAGATCTGAATGCTTTTATGAAAAAATGAAACTCGGCTGTTGAAAATTTGATTGAAATAAATCTACTTATTCTCAGTAACGGGAGCGTAGATGTTTTCTTTAAAAATGAATAAATAAAAGTGTACACAGTTGCTGTTTCTTATTGAAATTGCTGAGAACTAAAGTAAATGATGCAGAAAATAGAGAAAATAATTTTATCTGAAACTCAAAACTATAATTTATTTCATTCAATCAGAACTGTAAAAAATGCTTGAATAATGTTTCAGTTGGAATCATCTAAAAGGTCTAAAATTAATATTGATAGTTCAGTATTAGTGGAGTATCATAACTCTGGATCCGCCTTTAAAACCAGAGTCGGTGCATCTCAGATTCATTTGCTATGCTTTGACGTTGAGTTGGGTGACTAACCCACAACCTTTAAGACGTGTTCAAAGCTGAAACTTGTCCTCTTGTACTTTTCTACATGCAGCACGAAGCTATGGAAGACGTCGAGGTAAACTCCACCGTGCCTCTGTGTGTTCTTCTGGCATGTTTTATTGTTTCCTCTTGAAGGATACCAAACGGAAACCTCCATCCTGAAGAGAGCATTTACATAGGGAGCCTAAGTCTCCTCCCCTTCCAGCTGGCTCATGGGTCCGCGGAAAAGAGAAAAAATTAATGCGAGTCAATGGGGCTGTGAAAGCATTTTCTAGTCTTGGTTGATGTGTGCCATGGATTTCACACGATGTCCCTGAATTTTAAAGACACATTTTGATGCCAAGAAGAAGGGACTAAAGTTATTTCAGGTTTTGTGTGAAAGACGTACAGAACTACAAAGGTCCGTCTCACCGTATTGATGTCATCAAACCAGACGGGGCAAAGGAGAAGATTAGTTTAGCAAGCTTCCAGTCCTGGGAGAGAAGACTCTGATGTGACCTCATACGTGCTACGTGAGGTCTGAGACGTTTTAGTTACGAATTTTTACAAACTAACACATTTCAAAGTACATGACAGACATAGTCGAAACTCGTAATTTATTTTAATTTGAACCGAAGTACAACATGTTTGTGATTCAGCACGTAAGGCAAAAATGCATTAATTTTTTCATATTTCCGGGGACCCATGACCAACCGGAAGTAGATGGGCGTGGCTTAGTTCCCCTCTGCTTTTACTTTCTAGAACATTGCTTTTATTTTTTTTATTAATAAAAACTCTTTCAGGATTGAGTTTTAATCTTATCTGCCTAATTTAATCTCATCTAATGCCTCTTTAAAGAAAGTTGATGGGTGTTATTTGTGTACTACTCCTACATGGATGGTGATGAGGGTTTTTAGATTTGATCAAACTGAAATCTCCGTGGCTTTCTCCGTTCTGTGTAAACCCAAATTATAACAATGTAACTAATGATGAATACTAACCTCAGGAAACCTATGATGTTCTGTTTGCTATGAGAGCAGCTATAAATTAAACGTATCTCTGTAGAAGGTGCACCAACTACAGCTCCACATTGTGGCCAAATTGTGTTTTTTCAGCTAAAGTCGGAGCTGCAAGCCCCTCCTAGTCGCTCCCACAGGAGGGTTGTCTGCAAAGTAAAGTTTTTATTTAGTTTGAGATTTTATTTCTTTTAAGATTCTGGACATTAGATAATAGCTCAGGGTTTGAGTTGCTGTAACATATAAACGTAATTTAATAGCGGTCGTTACAGGTCGGTGAGTTTACACTCACACACAAAATTACCGCAAGATGTTCCTGTCTCTTGAGTAGTTAGTCATTTTGTCTCATAAACTAATGAAGCCAGTCATTTTGGGTCTGATCCAAAGCTAATTTTAAAGTATTAATATTTTGCTCACTGTGAGAATATTTAGTTGAACATGAACTCGTCTGTGTGAGTCACACAGATTAAATTAAAGTACAATGTGCTAAAGTAATAAAGTTTGTTAGTACTTTGGTTTTCACAAACAAAAATGTAAAAGTGCTGTAAAATAAAACTGCACAAAATCAATAAAAGCAGAAAAGACAAATAAAGATTGCTTACATAGTCGTGCTTCTTTAAGGAGACCAAAACTGTTGATTCAGCGTAAAACAAGGCCGTGGTGCTGTGTTTAAGAGGAATGGCCAGCTTCAGTTTCAGCTCGTAAGAACTACTAGTGGTTGGTTGATCTTAAATGCAAACTGAACTAAAAGTGTCAGATATCAAAACTCCAAACACGGTGGCTGTAGGAGGTTATTATGGGAGCTCTACGGGTGTATCATCTTGTGATCATCACTTTTGTCTGAGGCCCTTCATTACAACCTGTCCTGATGTGGATGCAGGAGTTTTAAAGTCAGTTTATTTAGAAGTTATTAATGAAGTATTTTATGTATGTGGCGTGTCGCCTCACACGTTGTTTTGTTTTTCAGGCCGCTCCTCTCTCTTCCCCATTGATGACAATCTCCTTGATGATGGCCGTGGCAACCAGGGTGTCCCAGGAGTCCTGGGGTCTCAGAACTGTTTCCCACACCAGAACGGTGAGCGTATTGAGCGCTTCTCCCGTAAGGTGTTCGTCGGTGGCCTGCCTCCTGACATAGATGAAGGTGTGGACCTTTTCAGTGTAAATTAAATAATCTGTCCTCCGGTTTCTTCATCCATCTCATGTTCCTTCCCTGCAGATGAAATAACCTCAAGCTTCCGGCGCTTCGGCCACCTGGTGGTAGACTGGCCTCACAAAGCCGAGAGCAAATCCTACTTTCCACCTAAAGGTATTGGAAACAGCAAGGCGCTGCTCAAGCTGAATTCAGATCCATGCCTCATAAAGCAGAGTTTCAAGTTCTAAATCCACATCCAGTTCCTTTATGTTTGTGTTTGTCTAGGATACGCCTTCCTGCTGTTCCAGGAGGAGACTTCGGTGCAGGCTCTGATTGAGGCCTGCATGGAGGAAGATGGGAAGCTCTACCTGTGTGTTTCCAGTCCCACCATCAAGGACAAACCAGTGAGTTCATCAGGCACCAGGTCACAGGGAAACTACCAGGTGGTGTCACTGACTGGTTAACTTGTGCTGTCATTTTACATCTGACTCCAGGTGCAAATTAGACCCTGGAACCTGAGCGACAGTGATTTTGTGATGGACGGATCTCAGCCCCTTGATCCCCGGAAGACCATCTTTGTGGGCGGTGTCCCTCGTCCCCTGAGAGCAAGTGAGTGCACCTTAAAACTAGAGCTTAGGAAAATAATCAATCGATGTATTGGGATGCGGACATAAATGATCTGCATCGTAGAAGAGTACGCCATAATCGATTATAGTGGAATGTAGTTTTGTTTTTAACGGCGGCACCAGTGAGCGTCCGCCACATTCACCACGTGGTTCCGCCTTAATGTGGTACTGCAGGGCTGAGCGCTAGAGTTGTAACCTGAGACCGAACCGGAACCGAATCGGCCCAACCGGTTCTGTTGGATTTGGGCGGTGAATTATGTTAATTGAGTGGGTTGTCACCAGGCGTGCAGATAGGGTGGGGGACAGGGGGGGACACCCCCCCAGATTCAGATCCACTCCGATCCGTCCCCCGCACTAAGGCCAGGACGTTAAGCGCTTGAAGCTCCTCTTTCCAATTACACTGAATGCAGCATGACGTAAACAAACACCGACTCCAGAGGCGCCAAAGTGGTTGCTGCTAGGATGCAGGATTAAACAACGATTACTGCGTATTTAAAAAAGACCAACAGTGTAAGTAGGCGGGACCGATCTGTCTGTTATGCATGTTGGTTCTAGTTTCAGTACGTTGTTGTCCGTGTTGGGACTTACTCGTTATAAACGCCAAAGCCTCATTGCTGACTTTAACAAGTCTCATCTACAAATATGATCCTCATGAAGTTACTACTTTACACCAGAAGATAGTGGAGATGTGGAACCTTCAGGCTGAGCAAAGTTTGGGAGTTTTTAGAGTTTTAAAATCGCCTCCCGCCGCCGAGAGGCTCCCAGTCGGGGAGAGGAGTAGACGCACGCAACATGAAGAGAGCAAATATTAGATAAAACGTATAATTGCCGGCAGGTCTGGTCTTTGTTGACTGATCACTTTGTCTGGTAATGGCTGACTCTTGATTATGAAGCAGAATATTGACTCTGATGAAGAAATTCACTCATCCAGCCGGGAAGATGGAGGCTGCTGCAGCATCAGACAGCTGGTGCTGCACGAGAGGTGTGTGGAGTTTACAAGCTCCAAACGTTGGGTTTGATGTTGGTTTAACCTTCTCTGGGACGTGATGGATGTAGAAACGATGATAAAAACACCGCTAACGTGACAGACGTAGCGACAATGTAAAAAAAAAAAAGCCATAAAAAGAGGCAGAGGCAGATGCCGATGCGTTAATATGGAAGTCAAGTGTGCCACATAATCATAAAAAAGGTAAAATATACATTTTAAAAAGAGCTTCATTTATGTATATATAAATTAAAACTTTCCAAATATAATGAAAATTTCTAAATAACGTAAAAATACGAAGGAACATCTGTTGGTCAGGCTGAAAAGTTTGGGAACCGCTGCTCTGTGATAAGTGAATATCGTTTTTTAAATATATTTTATGTACAGTTTTTTAGGGCTTTTATGTTTTCTGTAAAGATCGGTACGCTGAAAATCATTTAATGTTTTGCATAAAGCGTGAGGTTTTGGTTAGTAATTGATTGGGAAAGTAAATGACTGATTTGGATAGTGTTGATCAGGCAGAGCTTTGTTGCCAGCGTTCCGCTGCATAACGGCTTCAAACGCGTATATAATGGTGTTAGTTTTTTCGTAAACCGTTGGATGAAATTACACAAACTAACTGAGCTCTAGTTAAGGCTCTTGCAATAGTTTGTGTATGTGTACGTGCGTAAGTGTGTGTGTGTGTGTGTTTGGGGGAGGGTACATTGGAACTTTGTCCCCCCAGTTTGAAAATCCTATCTGTGCCCCTGGTTGTCACGCGGCGCGCTCCGCTCGCTCGCACAGCAACTGAGAGAGAGAGAATTGGAGGACGCTCCTCCAAACCGATGCTCCAATCACGCATTATTATTTTTATGATTTAATTATTTTTTCTCCTCAAAGCGCTCAGTCAGACCGAGTGTTGTGATGCTGGGAGATCCGGTCTTGCGGAGGGGGCGGGGTCAGTGACGGCGGCTGCGGCGTAATCGTCTTGTCTCTTTTATTTAGGGACAGGGAGAAGTTAAAAGGAGAGAGAAATAGAAGTTCTCGTTCCACTTTATTCTTTTGTTTCATGATGATAAACTGATGTTAAATTCAGCTTAAAGAGAAACTGGGAGGAAGCTTTGGTTCATTTTAGGTTAAAGGAGGTCTTGTTTCCTATCTGCTCCTCCAGAGACAGCATGGACATGAGGGTTACACAGGACAGGTTAGTGGAAAGGTTTGTAGTTAGCTGGTTAGTGAAAGAGATCCATCAGCTGGGTAATTTAATCCTAATCCAGCCCACAGCCTCCTGCTGGTGTTATCAGAAAGAATAAAACGCACATCTTAAATATTATTGGAAGTGTAGAATTTGTTTTGTGTTTTATTATTTTCTGCATCAAACAGAACTTGATTCATTCTCCAACATTTCAGAAACGAACCACTGGGTTCAACAAACTGACTATAAATATATATAGTATAATATATATAAATAATATATATAGTATAATATATATAAATAACATATATAGGGCTGCAGCTATCGAATATTTTTGTAATCGAGTACTCTATCGAATCTTTTTTTCGATTAATCGAGTACTCTAATAAATTACCCTTTTGTGTTTGTAAAGCATTTTATAAAACAGCATGTTATAAAATATGAAAGACCTCTCAAATGAGCAAGCAATTGCCAGTTATTCTTCAAGTTTTATTCAAAATTAAGTTTGCAAAACTTCAGCACTTCAACTTTACTTCACAGTAAACAAATGCGTGTGCAAAAAATAAGTTTACAACCTGAGCCGATTTTCCCCCCGTGCGAGAATCTGCTAGCCTGCAAGCCAGACAGAAACTAGGAGGATAACTGTTGAAGTAGCGCTGCGAGCGGCTGCGGCCCAAACAGAACCAGAACCGCTCACGGCGCAAACAGCTCTCCGGCTGTTCCCTATTAACACACGTTCGTTTTAATTTCTACACTTTTTTTCTCACACAATAACAAGGATTGTCGAGAAAGCATGTTTGCCGTGGTTTTGTCAAATTATACTGATCACAAAACATTTATTTACTTTCTTTCGTTTTCCTCATAAATACCCGTGTCCTCCTGCAGCGATCCCGAGGGACAACAAATATCAATAACAACACAGTAAAAAGTCTGACATATTGTGTAAAAACTGCTATTTTTAGCACATTTTAAGTCCGACGTGTTGCTACCAGACGTACGGTGTGACCTGAAACTGAGTGCTACAAACAAAAAAGTCGCACAGTGTCCGCAGAATATATAGAAATACAGGCTAAAATGCATTATCTTGTAGAGGCTCCGAGTCCGCTTGCAGAAGTGACATTTACATGTGGATGTTTCCTGGTCAGGTTGCAGGATCGAGGAATATGGTGTGGTAGGCTAAATCCATTTTACAGTATTTATACTGGACTACGTTTTCCACCTTACGACGTGAAAAATGGTCCCACACCTTTGACATTTTCTGTCTTTTTCGCACTCCACCGGGATCCACGTTGTCCGCCATGGCTTAAGAGAAAGTTAAGTTATATTTGCTACTCGCAGTCCAGTGGGCATGTGCGTCACTTATTTCGGTCCGGGTGAAACATGACCCCGTGCGTTTGCAAAGCCATGAATTAATTAAAAATGAATTAAACGAATCCTCGAGGCAGAGAATTTGACTCGAGGATTTTTTTGTACTCGAATTATTCGAGGTACTCGAGGAATCGTTTCAGCCCTAAACATATATAGTATAATATATATAAATAACATATATAGTATAATATATATAAATAACATATATAGTATAATATATATAAATAATATGTATAGTATAATATATATAAATAACATATATAGTATAATATATATAGTATAATATATATAAATAACATATATAGTATAATATATATAAATAATATGTATAGTATAATATATATAAATAACATATATAGTATAATATATATAAATAACATATATAGTATAATATATATAAATAATATATATAGTATAATATATATAAATAACATATATAGTATAATATATATAAATAATATGTATAGTATAATATATATAAATAACATATATAGTATAATATATATAAATAATATGTATAGTATAATATATATAAATAACATATATGGTATAATATATATAAATAATATATATAGTATAATATATATAAATAACATATATAGTATAATATATATAAATAATATGTATAGTATAATATTGTCAGGCTGATCAGACTGGATGAAGGAGACGAACAAGGTGAGACGTTTAACAGTTTTATTATTTCTCCGGTCGTATCTCTGTGAGGAAGAAACGATGACTGAGATGAGAAGCCGGTCATGGCGTCTTCCATATATAGCCTTGCTTGGCTGTGACGTGGAGGGACTCCCCGCGAGGAGCACACTGGGAGCTCCCCACGAGGAGCATGTCGGGAGTTGTGGTCCGAAGGTCAGCCAGGAGATACCTGAGTCCTGACAGGACCCCCCGGTCCAGGGACGGCTCCAGAAGTCCCAGCGCGACCCCGGCGGACCCAGAAGTCAGAGATCAGGGAAGGGTCCAGGATGGACCGACCCGGCTCCCAGGAGCGTTCCTCGGGGCCATAGTCCTTCCAGTCCACCAGGTACTGCCAGCCCCGACCCCTGCGGCGAGCGTCCAGGATGCGCCGGACGGTGTAGATAGGCTCACCGTCGAGGAAGCGGGCAGGAGGCGGCGCCGGAGCCGGAGGCGGGAGAAGGGAGGACTCCACGTAGGGCTTGAGCCGGGAGGTATGGAAGGTGGGATGGATGCGGAGAGTAGCCGGCAGCCGCAACCGGTACGTGACCGGGTTGATGACCCTTTGGATGGGGTATGGGCCGAGGAACCGACACAGACCCGAAGGTCAGCCGTGGACACCCAGACCCGAAGGTCAGCCGTGGACACCCAGACCTTGTCCCCAGGAGCATAGGAGGGACCAGGACGGTGTCGACGGAGATGCTGGTGAGCATAGCTGGTGTTAGCTCTGGTTATGGAGGCTCGTGCTTTGATCCAGGCGCTCTTGCAG